GCGCTCACCAGTTGGTGCCACTGTCTTCGCTACTAGCAAGTGACAGGACCTTACTCTACAGTGGCGCTAACTGGTGAGCGCTAAAACGATAGCCCTCAGTGAGTCTTGGTCTCCTTCAAAAGAATCTTCACTCCAGTATGTTCTGCGCCATTTTGCTCATGCTTGCCAATTAGCGTGCGCAGATCATGAATAGAAAAAGTTCAAGATCTATGAAGGGATTTTACAATAGGCTGTTACTCATAGACTATCTGTTGACTGCAGTCAATATCCAATATTTCACTTTGCGACCATACAACGTGACACAACATATCAATAATAATGTCAAAGGTACAGACTTCTCCATACCGTTTTCACTACGCACAATTTAAAAGGACGATACAAAAATTAGGCGTTTATGTCATTTGAAACCATTATAAAACCATGATTTTGTAGAAAAATAGAGAATGCATACTTAGATTTTTGCTATTCTTGACAAAACTGATAATGATAGAGTAGAGCTATGTTGCTAGCGTCTACAGTCGTAGTGGTCTTCGTCTCCCCTCATTCAGGGCACAATATTTTACGAAGATTTCCTGTCAACTCACCCCTTTTGAGTTGAGCTTATTTATGGCGCAAAATTTGACGCGTCCATTGTAACTTTGGATGAGGCTGATAACATTGTTGTGGATTTTAACTTTAACAAGGTTTAAAGTGTTATAGATTTATCATCTTTATTGTGAGGAGATTTTCGCGATAAGCCGAAACAAAGAAAACTCTGGAGTGGAAGGACCGAGTTTAGATAAGAAAGAGTTATGAAAGAATGTGGAAAGCAAGAGATTTTATAAATGGAACATTACAAAATTTTGTAGGATATTAGAAAGAAAATACCATAAAAGGCAAAACCAGTAATGCTGTAATAAGTACTAAAACCGCATACATATTAGAAGCATTTTACTTTATGTTTGTCCATATTGACGCACGAATTTCTTAAAAATATTGTAGGTACCCAAGAAATATTGTAACTAGGCAGATTTGTACCAGTAGGTACCTACCCAAAGTGCAATGAGAAAACTAAGATACATTTCAGCCAAAAGGTAGATTTCCGAATTTACATTTTAGACTTTACTAGCTGACCCGGCGAACTTTGTTCCGCCTTAATGGCAATAAATAAGCAGACTTTTTTTAATTTCGAACGGGATAAAAAGTATCCTATGTCCTTCTCCTGGCTTTAAACTACCTCCCTGACAATTTTCAGCTAAATCGGTTCAGCCGTTCTTGAGTTATAAGTGGAGTAACTAACACGACTTTCTTTTATATATATAGATTTATGAACTATGGCAGTGATGGCCAAGAGGTCGACCGCGGTCTACCGGTCAATGGCGAAGACGATTTTGGTAGCCCGCGAGAGTTAAATAAACTGAACAGAATGATTAAAAATGAAAAATGTTTTGTTTCACTCTTCTAAACTGTACCTTGCAGTCGACCGCAAGAAATATTTTCGAGAATAGGTAGACCTCACAGTCACAGGTCAAAAGTTTTGCCACCCCTGAACTATTACTTATTCTGTGGTAATAGGTAAGTATAATTTTTCAAATTTGATCCAACCTCCCACCTTCAAATCAAAAACACGCCCCAATTTATTTAAATACCCTTCGATGGTGTCGAACGGATTTTTAACCCGTCAGTTGTCGGAACACCCCTGTGTTGGTGCCCCCTTATTGAAAAATTCAAAACCGTAGATTTTCCTGCAATATTAACCCCCGTGCAAATACTTAAAGTCATCTTAAGTCATGAGCGATAAGCGAAAATTATTTGAATTTCCAGAAAATGTATGACTAACGATCAAGTGCAAGGCTTTTGTGCAATAACAATTTTAAATACAAACAAAATAAGATGACGAGAATGACAATCTAAATAACTAAATTACTTCTTATTTTTTCGAGATTTATGAGTTTTCCTTAAAATTTTCCTTATTTTTTCTTTTCTGTGTGTCATGTGTCCAGTGTCACTGCCAATGATCCACTAGGCAGATGTACTAGAAGGCCTGTTTGGGATTGGCGACGGATCGTGAAGCTTGCCTTTTTTTTTTCCTGTGGCAACACTACCGCTAACAGCTGATTTGAACTTGTCCCAATTTATTTACTGATTTTTATTTAATTTAATATCATAAAAGGTCTCTAAACTCATCACTGTTACTGTTTTATGTAATTATAAGTGAAATAACGTTTAAATCTGTGTATTGCATTGTGTTTATGGTGCAAATTGTCCTCCAATTATTGATCAATTGCTCCTTTGGCATTTACATTTTNCCTTTTTTGGCGCATCAAAAATTAATCTATGGCGACTCACAGGCTTTAAACTATCGCTCGGCCTTCGGTCTCGCCTTTTTCTACGTTAGCTAAGCCCCCCTGCATACAATTTGTATGGAGAATTTAGTCCCTTTAGGAAAACGGGTGAACGCTTGGCGGCCATCTTGGATTTCCAAAATTTTGCATTTTTGCCTTAATCTAGACCATTTTCCGCGCCGAACCCTATTTTTACTTTTTTTCTAACTTTACATAATCCCGTAAAACAATTCCTTAAAATTTCCCATGTCCCAAAATTTTGAGTTTCCGTAACTCCCAGTGTTGCCAGGTGATCGAAATAAAAATAGTCAAATGTCATTAGTTTGACCTATTTGCAGAAGGCGTCATCCAAATTTCTGACCGGAAGTCGTTATTTCCATTTTTTACATTTTTGGACCAAAACTCTCAAAGTTGGGAGAAGGGGGGGGGGGGGCCATTATGAAATGACGCTAGGATGATTGTAGGGGGGGGGGGTCTAAAATCTGAAAAAATCGATGACGTAATTTATGGACGGCCCCTTAGTGAATTGGCTATTTCGAAGAATTTACAAGGAGATTTAAATAAGAAGATAGCAATACTACAGTTCACACTAAAAAGAGAGGTAGGGCCACAGAGAGCGAGATAGATATAAGTAGGTATTTGACTCAAGTTTTGTTCCCAACTTTGCCCTCCATTTTTATCTGTAGCTTCATGCGTACTACGCTAACTGTACCTGACGCCTGACTACCTGACGCTAACTGTACAATAAAATATAAATAAACTAGCTGACCCGGCGAACTTTGTTCCGCCTTAATGGCAATAAATAAGCAGACTTTTTTTTTAATTTCGAACGGGATAAAAAGTATTCTATGTCCTTCTCCTTGCTCTAAACTACCTCCCTGACAATTTTCAGCTAAATCGGTTCAGCCGTTCTTGAGTTATAAGTTGAGTAACTAACACGACTTTCTTTTATATATATAGATAACGCATTGACAATAAAACCAACATTATAATTTAAATACATTTATTGTAGTTCATAGAATCACTAAAATACATTTCATTGCAAACTATCCCTTAATACAAGTATCTGGGATACCAATTTAGCGTTATGAGCCGTCCCTGTGCAATAGAGATCTTATTTTATCAAATTCTATTCATAGATAAAGCCTAGATAGATAGAAAAGTGAGTCAACTTTTAGAGTAGGCGCACACCGTTGATTTTTCGTCGGCCGATAGTTTAGTCGGGCAGTTGATCAGTATGGGCATGTATGGGAGTGCGCACACTACGCCAATTCGATTTGGCCGATTCTTCATACAATTTAAAATCGGGCACAACTATCGGCCAACATCACATCAAGTAAAAAATCCGACAATTTTTATTATTTTAGTTAAATATCTTATTAAATCATTATGAAATAACAAATACCTAGTAAACATTTATAACGATAAGCTCTCCCACTTTCGAAAAAATCGCTTTACAATGTTAATTTTTTCACAACATTTTGACAGTAATGACATAAGGTTTATAACGCCCCCTTGTGGGTGCTGTAGGCCTAAAATGAGACTCGGAAAAAAAGCAGAGCGTTTGAAGTTAGAGTGGTTTTTAAGTAGATGAAAAAATGGGGACGCTAAAAAATAATTTATTCTCAAAGTGGACAGACAACATAAGTTTGAAAACCTTTGTTTTAGTCGAAGCTTTCGTATGAAGATTGAAGACTATCCATTTTGGCTATTATCTAGGCTTTGCTAATTTGACATAATTTACTATAACCTAGTAGAAATAATACAAAATATAATAAACTAAAAGTAGCCTATATACAATAGTACACACTACAATATACATTCTAGGGAAGTCATATATAACTATACATTTTGGAGTTTATTTCTGATCCCGTTCACTGAATGTCTCAAGATGTTTGAAATATTTGTACAAATATTTTAACTGTGTGAAAAAGCCAAGAGTTATCTATATAATCAAGACTCAACAACGAAACTGCTGTCCTTTATATGCAAACAACCGTTCAAAATATTTGTGCAAAGTTGTTTGCAAACATCTTGACAAATGCCTGTGACACACACAATGATATTTTTTGCTGAAATATTGGGTAAAATTGACAATAAAAAGAACAATTCCAAGGCACAACTTCAAATGTTTATGATATTTCCAAATAATATCCAAACAATTTTAAATCAACATCGTTGCAAACTAACTAAAGGAAGACACATTGTGCTTATTATAAGTGTAGAAAACTTAGTCAGTGATTTTGGATGACACTCATGAGTATTAAAATTTCTTAGCGAATAGTCGCTTCTCAAACTAATTTATATTAAAAAAACAACTTGAAAAAATCGAATCGGTGTCTAAGTAGCTCAGTTGGAAGAGCAGTCGCCCGGCAAGCGGACGGTCGTGGGTTCGAGTCCCGCCTTAGGCAGTTTCGATTTTTTCAAGTTGTTTATTTAAAAAACTCATGAGGATGTTGTGGTCAGGATTATTTCACTGTTTTGTACAATAAATCAATCACTGAACCACGTTTCTGAAGCGCTATTTCACATAAACATCCACAATTTCTCTCATGTAAAATCTGAAAATATCTCAGCGCTCATATTTTCAGCGTGCCAATGAGTGCTAACGCACTGTCAAATAGTTGCAAAAACGGTTCTGTTTGACGTGACGTCGCCGGCATCACGCATCTCTTTTTATCATACAGTGTTGCTGCTAGTGACATCTCGCTCGCTCAGTTCTTTGTTGCTCTATTCCGCTAGGTATATTAACTTGATGGTTTTGCCGTCCAAGCAGTAAAACCAGGGGCGTGACTACCACCGTATTAATAATACCCTTGGCCTGACTACCATCGTATTAATAGGCCCTTAATGGCTTAGTCATCAAAATGACAACCGGGACGCAAAATGTCCACAAATAATCGAAATATCCGATATAGACAATATTATTATAAGAAGTTGTCTTTTAGCGAAGTTGATATTTTAAGAAGTAATTTCGAGAAGTGGACATTTTGCATCCCGGTTGTCATTTTGATGACTAAGCCCCCATAATGACCTTTATAATGATACCCAAATTTTCTCACAAAGCACAGTGCAGTCTCGGTCTGGAATTGGGACTAGTTTTCAGCCATCTCCACTCTCCATGTCTGCCCGACGTCGTCGCCCAAAATGTATTCCCCGTCTACCATTTGTATGTTTTGCGCGGCCACTACCTGGAAATAAAATTAGAATAATGAACTTCATTCGTCATTATCATAGGTATAGTCCGGTCGCCGAGCACGTAGAATTCCGTCCAATGACCCCAAGCTATCCATCCTTATCGCTCGCGCGTAATTATATTGCTGTCGCGACTGTGCGACGGGCGCCCGCAGTGAGTGTGCGAGCGCGACAGCAATATAATTACGCGCGAGCGATAAGGATGGGTAGCTTGGGGTCATTGGACGGAATTCTACGTGNCATCCTTATCGCTCGCGCGTAATTATATTGCTGTCGCGACTGTGCGACGGGCGCCCGCAGTGAGTGTGCGAGCGCGACAGCAATATAATTACGCGCGAGCGATAAGGATGGGTAGCTTGGGGTCATTGGACGGAATTCTACGTGCTCGGCGACCGGACTTTACAAAGTTGTTAGAAATTAATGCAATAGTTATGGAGCGAGCTATGCTCGGAGTTTCCGTGCGTGAACGAATCAGAAATGAGGAGATCCGCAGGAGAACCAAAGTGACTGAAATAGCCCGCAGAATCACTAAAATCAAGTGGCAGTGGGCGGGGCACATAGCTCGTAGAGCTGATGGCCGCTGGGGCAGGAAAGTTCTGGAGTGGCGACCACAGGCCGGAAGACGTAATGTGGGCAGACCTCCCGCTAGGTGGACCGACGACCTCATAATGTTAGCGGGAAGGCGCTGGATGCAGGCCGCTACCAACCGTGCGATGTGGAAACCATTGGGGGAGGCCTATGTTCAGCAGTGGACGTCCTGTGGCTGAAATGATGACTGTGGGATTCGAAAGATCGACCACAATAAGAAAGCTAATGTGTTAGTGCTTCCTTCCGAGCGAGTGTTGTGCTCGGGGACCAAGGTCCAATGAGGGCTATCGTTTTAGCGCTCACCAGTTAGCGCCACTGTAGAGTAAGGTCCTGTCACTTGCTAGTAGCGAAGACAGTGGCACCAACTGGTGAGCGCTAAAGTGGTAGGAGGACTATCGCATTTGCACTCATCAAGATGGCGCCACTGTAGAGTAAGGTCCTGTCAATCGCCAGGGGTGCCAACTGTTAAGTATAAAAACGATAGCCCTCATTGTCACCATCTTGGTTTTTCTATACAGGGTGGAATTTTGTAATGCCACCTGGAGGGAAAGTACTCTTAATATTGTAGATAGAAAATTTTCCTGAAAGAAAAAATTCCTTATTTTTGAAAAGAAAGAAAACTGCATTTAGAGATTTTCGAAAATTCACCACCATACCTGTTCCATGTCCTCGCAAATCTCCGTTGTCTCCATGGTCTCCTCGGTCTCCATAGTCTCCTCAGTCTCTTCAGTCTCCGTGGACTGTATCTCCACTTGAACGATCTCCTTGCTCATCATTCCGACTAGTTCCTCGTACTTCTGCTTCTGGTCGTCGGTCATGTTGGCTGCGAAAGAATTGGTTGGTCATGTTGGCTGCGAAAGTAATGCCCGTTTTCACCATCAATCCCTGATTTTTAAGTGACCCCTATGGTATAAAACTCCTGTTATGTGTTACCGTAGGGGTCACTTAAACGGGCATAAGGGTTTCGTGACAGATTTAAGTTTGCAGTTGGTAATATAGGTTTCCCAAATGAAGAAACGGTCAAAGTTTGTAAATTTGTAATAGGATTACAATGATATTAAATAATTCTTGGGTAAAAGTTAATGAGAGATGCCCGATAGGATAGATATTATTAATTTATACTTAAAAGAATGTGCTCATACAGGGTGTTAGGTAAATGGGTATATGAGCCGACACTAGCCCATGTTAACATGGTCATATAAATGGTATGGTGAAGTCAGAAAATTGATATCTTCATTTTAATTATTTTATTTTTCATACAAATATTGTTTTGTAACATGGGCTAGTGTCGGCTCCTATACCCATTTACCTAACACCCTGTAAACCTGTATTTTTTACGTTTAACGGGGAAGCTCCTGGGTCGCATTTCAAAAGTGATGATCAAGCCGAAGGTGGAGGTTTCACCTACAGAGCGACTGACTACCTTACCTCCTCTTATTTCGATATGCCTTTGATAACTCCTGCAGTGCAAATGGTTCCGAGGTAAAATAGGTGAGGACACTAGAATTTCCATTTTCTTCACCCAGGTGATATAACCCACGTAAAAAATGTGGAATAAACCGACTATAGTCTAATAAAATAAATAATTACGCGCGAGCGATAAGGATGGGTAGCTTGGGGTCATTGGACAAAATTCTACGTGCTCGCGGACCAGGCTTTAAATGACCTGATGATCGACTCACCAGGGTTATGGTTCCTGAGTTGAGTTGTCAGCCATAGAAACTTATTGACAGCGCCATCTGTTGGTAACATTTGTAACTGTGCTAGAAAGTGTGGACTCGCCAAGGTTCCATAGATGGTTCCTGCAAAGGGTCAACAAGCTCCTGTTGCCTCCATGAGGTCGTCGGTCCACTCACCAGGGTTGTGGTTCCTCAGATGGTAGTTCAGATGGCTGCTCTGCTTGAACCGCTTCTGGCAAATGCCGCACTGGAATGGCGACACGTTGGTGTGCGTCCGCATGTGTTGTTTGAGATGGACTGACTGGCAGAACGTCTTGCCGCAGATGACGCAGCGGTAGGGACGCACCTGGATATTTTGATTAAGGTTAGGCCACAGATCACAGAAACTAAAGGCACATGCGAAAAGGGGGCTGGGCCGGTGTCACAGCAATATCAGGCCTGTTCATCTCCGCGAGTTTACATCGAAAACAAAACACGCACGATGGCCCACCTACAGGATACTATTCGACAAGGCCTCAGATACGAGCGAACATTGACTCACGCACGCGTATTCTTGTGTATGATGGAAAAAACAAAGAAAATGGTGTACTAAATACTGTGCAGTATTGGCATAGAATAAATAAGTACTACGTACAGAAGTTTTATTTCGCGAAGGTATTTAAAAAAATGTATGCTCAATCTCATTAACAATATGGTGTAATTTAGCCTGTCTCAAGAGTCAAGCACCATTTTGTTGACAAACGTTTTTTTTCATTATTTTCTTCCATCATACACAAGAATATAGATGACCCACGCTGAACTGTCCCGCCAAAGTCAATGACAGGGGGGCGCTACCATCGTTCAACTATATGGTTTCCAAACATGGCAAAAATCTGAACCAGCGATCCGGTATTGACGGTGGCGCCCCACTGTCAATGTCATCGACAGGACAGTCCAGTATTTTGGAACTATATGCGTGCGTGAGTCAATGTTCGCTCGTATGTGAGGCCTTGTCGAATAGTTACCTGTAGGTGGGCCATCGTGCGTATTTTGTTTTCGATGTAAACTCGCGAAGATGAACAGGCCTGGTATTGGTAGCATCCTTATGCGCTTTATTTTTTTTTTCATATTTTTTAGGGATAGTACATTAGTAGAGCTACCTCCCCTAGCAGTTTGATTCACCCATTCTGGGACACCCTGTACATATTAAGCGATATGCAGTTTAGTGGTACATGCCTACCCTGTAAGTGCCTATTCACTCTCGCCTTGAGAAGCCCAGATTATAGTGTTCGGCAATAGGGTTGCCAGGTCCAAAATCACAAAATCCGGACTTTGTGCTTCATTTGGCCGGACATTTTACCCTAAAAGCCGGACATGTGAGGGGGGGGGTCCAATTAGTGCCAGCTCATGAGTGAGTACTATCATCGGTTGCTAACCAACATCCTGATGCGTGCGCTTCAATTATGATTCTGTGACTCGACTTTCGCCTGGCGCGGCAACCAAATAAAAAGCCAGACAAGCCGAACAAGGCAATATTAAATAATAATAATAAATATCCTTGGACATTTAACACTGCGCCGCTAGCCCCAAACTAAGCAAAGCTTGTACTATGGGTACTAGACAACGGATATAAAGATACTTAAATACTTTTTTTTTTGTAAATACATACTTAATATACTTAGAAAACACCCAGACCCGTCACAGAAATCAAAATTCATCATTTCAATTTCTGCCCGGCCGGGAATCGAACCCGGGACCTCTCGGCATAGTAGTCCGTTCTGAACCACTGCACCAAACGGCCGACTTATTTGTTATATTTGGCCGGACAAGTCCCTAAAAAGCCGGACGCCTGGCAACCCTATTCGGGAAAGACAGCAGCAGGCAACGAATTCCAATCCCTAGCTGTTTTCATTATAAAAGACGCTGGCTCTCTTCAGCTGTCTTGTAAGTCTTACCTTTGTGTGTATCCTGATATGTTGGTCGAGGCCAGACTTCTGCGTGAAGGACTTAGGGCAGAAAGTGCAACTGAAAGGCCTGTCGCCGGTATGCATTCTCATGTGTTGTTGAACGCCGCCCTGGGAACAAATTAAATTGTTAATGCAAGTAACTAAAATTTTATTGTTGTCATTACTATAGTCTGCTGGTCTGCGAGCACGTAGAATTTCGTCCAATGACTCCAAGCTATCCATCCTTATCGGTCGCGCGTAATTATATTGCTGTCGCACTGTGCGACGCGCGTCCGCAGTGAGTGTGCGAGCGCGACAGCAATATAATTACGCGCGAGCGATAAGGATGGGTAGCTTGGGGTCATTGGACAAAATTCTACGTGCTCACAGACCAGACTATAGAGAGAAGTAGGAATGTAGCTGCATAGGTCAAGTTAAGCTATGTACGCTACACCAGAATGTGACAACAGTCTCGTATTCTGTTGTAAATGTTATGTGGATATACGAATAGGATTATGACTTCCCAATGATGGGAATTGGGAATTCGTTGCGAGTCCAACTTTCCTTTTTACAAACTTGACCTTCATTAGTTGGGTTATTGGCGGTCAAGCTGTAGATCCTGGCTACACAGGAGTTGCAGCGGTGGGAACGAGAGGTGGGAATAGTTCCAAATAGGATTAGGACGCTGGATGGGTTAGTTTACCCCGATCGGATGGATCATTCACTCGGGCTTCATTAAATGGGTTATATTTAGCTACGTACCTGCTGCGTAAACAGCTTGAAGCAGATGGAACACTGGAAGGGCTTGAGCTTAACGTGCACTAGGGAACATGGAAATATTGCCTTGGCTTTTGCTAGATGGGTGGGCTAGAACGTTTAGAGAGAAATAGGAATGCCTGGAGAGAATTGAGGAGCCTGGAGAGAATTGAGGAGCCTTGAGAGAATTGAGGAGCCCGGAGAGAATTGAGGAGCCTGGAGAGAATTAAGAAGCCTGGAGAAGAAAAAGTGGAATGTTTCTTGATCTTCACTGGATCGGTTAGATTATTTACCTGCTGCGTGAACCGCTTGAAGCAGATGGAACACTGGAAGGGCTCTGTAATTATGTTGCTGTCGCGCTCGCACACTCACTGCGGGCGCGCGTCGCACAGTCGCGACAGCAACATAATTACGCGCGAGCGATAAGGATGGGTAGCTTGGGGTCATTGGACGGAATTCTACGTGCTCGGCGACCGGGCTTTAGATAGGTTGAGCTATGTTACCTGCTGCGTAAAGCGCTTGAAGCAGATGGAGCACTGGAAGGGCTTGAGCTTGACGTGCGCGGCCGACGTGTGCGCAGACAGTTCTTTACTCGCAGAAAAACCCGCTCCGCACACCTGCAAGCATTTTTACGTCAGTTGCATGAACGTGTTAAAAGTAAAAATGGGTGCGTTTGACTAAGCGGCAAGTGCTGTCACTGCTAAAAAAGTAAAATGAAACACGTTACTATTGAAGTCAACAAATTTCATCAAACGTGTCCTCGCCGAAGACTACCTTAGCAATCGCTAGTTGTTAGTAGTTTGCATAACGGCGCTTTTTGGAGGGTCATAATATACTGCATGTTTTTTTACCGTCTCAATAAGTTTACAGGATATTTATTTGAGCATGAATATAAATAAACAAATTAATAACTATCATTGACGGGATTGCTACCATGAATTTCGAATTTCCGATATTTCGGCACTGTGACCATTAAAGTTTAAAACAATATAACAACTTTCATTATAAGGGACCAACTCTGAAATCACAAAAAAACATGCATGACAGTATGTACGAACCGCCAAAATGTTTACTACCGCGATGCAGGTTTGTAAGCGCAGATGCGTGTGCCATAGAAACTATGTATCAACGCCATCTGTTGAGCGATGCCTGCCAACAACTTTCAACTTTGTATCTGTATAGTCTGGTCCGTGAGCACGTAGAATTTTGTCCAATGACCCCAAGCTACCCATCCTTATCGCTCGCGCGTAATTATATTGCTGTCGCGACTGTGCGACGGGCGCCCGCAGTGAGTGTGCGAGCGCGACAGCAACATAATTACGCGCGAGCGATAAGGATGGGTAGCTTGGGGTCATTGGACAAAATTCTACGTGCTCACGGACCGGGCTTTACCTATGTACTATGATCCATAGAGACTCACCTCACAGGTATAGGGTGCTCTGCCCTCATGCTGCTGTAGAAGCGGCTTCTCGCATACTTGACACCGAAGCCCCTTGCGACGCCGAGTGTGTTCGTCCCGAAAGTGGGCCGAATACTCGCAGCACGAGAAGAATATCTGGTGGCAGACTCCTTCGGCCACCGTGTTTGAGGGTTGGACGCATTCGAATGGGCCACTGGAATTAGAATTCTTTATTAGTATTAGAGTAGGCGCACACCGTTGATTTTTCGTCGGCCGATAGTTTAGTCGGGCAGTTGATCAGTATGGGCATGTATGGGAGTGCGCACACTACGCCGATTCGATTTGGCCGATTCTTCATACAATGTAAAATGGGGCACAACTATCGGCCAACTAAAAATCAACGGTGTGCGCCTAGTCTTATAAAGAGGGCTATGCTCGGTGTTTCTTTACGAGATCGAATCAGAAATGAGGAGGTCCGTAAACGAACTAAAGTCGCTGACATAGCCCGACGGATTAGCAAGCTGAAGTGGCAATGGGCAGGGCACATAGTACGCAGAACTGACGGCCGATGGGGCAGCAAGGTTCTGGAGTGGAGGCCGCGTACCGAAAAATGCAGCGTGGGACGTCCACCCACAAGTGGACCGACCACATCATAAAGTCAAAGTCAAAAGTCAAAGTCAAAATTACTTTATTTGTTTGGACTAATAAATAGTTCTTACAAATCGTCATTTTGCTCTTAAGGAGCCTCTACATGTCTCATAATCTTTTTACCCTACCAGCGCTTCGAGACCAACTTTTCAAAGGTAGCAGGAAAGCGCTGGACGCAGGCCGCTACCAACCGGGCAACATGGAAAGCATTGGGGGAGGCCTATGTTCAGCAGTGGACGTCCTATGGCTGAGATGATGATGATGATTAGTATTTAGGCTGTAGGCTCGTAGAGCTGATGGCCGCTGGAGAAGACACAGTGTGGGGTAGGTTTCCCACTAGGTCAGTGGTTCTTAACCGGTGGTCCGCGGACCACTGGTGGTCCCTGGAGGCATTCCAAGTGGTCCACGAAGACATCGTAATAAACAAGTGACGTGATGAGTCGACTCAATACAACGCAAACGGCGCACAGTGGGCGAGAAATCGACCTTTCGTAGGATTTCGAAAAAAAAAAAGCGGTCCTTGACACGACAGAAATTTGGTAAAATGGTCCCTCGTGACTTAAAGGTTAAGAACCACTGCACTAGGTGGACCGACGATCTGGTGCAGGTCACGGGAGGTGTCTGGATGCGAGCGGCGCAGGACCGGTCTTTGTGGAAATCCTTGGGGGATGCCTTTGTCCAGCAGTGGACGTCAGTCGGCTGAAAAATTTCGCAGTGTGTGCAAGCACGACAGAAATANAGGATGGGTAGCTTGGGGTCATTGGACGAAATTCTATCTGCTCGGCGCCCGGACTTTATCAAAGACTAGCTGCCACCCGCGACTTCGTACGCGTGGATCCCGTTTTACCCCCTTAGGGGTGGAGTTTCGTAAAGTCCTTTCTTAGCGGATGCCTACGTCATAACATCTAACTGCATGCCAAATTTCAGCCCGATCCGTCCAGTGGTTTGGGCTGTGCGTTGATAGATCACTATGTCAGTCAGTCAGTCAGTTACCTTTGAGTTATATACATACTAGCTTTCCGCCCGCGGCTTCGCCCGCGTGGAATTTTGTCTGTCACAGAAAAACTTTATCGCGCGCGTCCCTGTTTCAAAAACCGGGATAAAAAAAAGAACATAGGATAGCCTATGTTCTTTCCCGGGACTCAAACTATCTCTATGCCAAATTTCATCAAAATCGGTTGCGAGGTTTAAGCGAGAAAGCGTAACAGACAGACAGACAGACAGACAGACAGACAGACAGACAGACAGAGTTACTTTCGCATTTATAATATTAGTTGGGATTGGGATTTAGATTATTTACGAGTAATCAAATAAATAAACAACTTACGTGATAGGCTGCGGCGGTTCTTTCTGCTTCCTCACAGTTTCCTTCGTTTGCTGATTCACTTTCACCACTTTGACTTTTTTCTTCTTCTCCGGAGGACTATCAGTTTCTTCGGACTTGATGATGATGTAGCTCACATCGTTGGAAGCGAGGCTCATGAGGTTCCCAGGGGTCATCGATGAGAAGATCTGTTCGGTCTTCTTTTTGATTTCTGCTGGGTCTTCTTTGATTTTCGCCGAGAGAGGGATTTTTGTCAGTCTCTTCTTTTTCACTGGGGACTGAAAGATTAGTGACGTTTTATACTTTCGTTGTTTTGAGTGTTGGGCCTATCGATATTGGCCGACTGGTAGGGCAATCACTTAAAGTGACATGACCAGAGGCGTAGCTACTAAGGGGCAAGGCGGGGCAGTGCCCCCAAGCCTAGGGGCCCCCGAATCCTTACCAGAAAATCTCATTTAAACTGAACTTTTAAAAATTTCTTCCATTTTCAAAATAAATAAAAAGAAATTCGAAAGCTAAGCAAAGAAAGATACCTAGAGAATTCCCCTAAATTAACCTTCAAGCGGGCGCGCGGTCTTTTGTAACGGCAGCGGTCGCGCGTAAACGAAAAGACCTATAGGGTCTAGTAAATAAATAAAGTACTTATTTTCCAATAATAATTTATTGTTTTGTACGCAGGCATATTATGAGTGTATTTAAGTCTTAAGTAATTTGAATTAAGTTAAAGAAACAATTATTTAATCAATTAACATAACGAAAATATTATTTGGATCAAAAACTAATTTTTGAACACAAAATCTTTTAAAATACCTCAGAATAGTTCATATATAGCCTGACCAGGAACATAAAAACCCTGGCATAGAGGCGCTTCAATTGCATTTGATAGTGCAACACTGAGTACAGTCGTACATGTGTTAAATTAATAGGCTAAATTTATGTATCAGGATTCAGGATTACGGGCTAATTAGATATTTTCATAAATGAACGAAAAATATTATTAAAGTTAACCTGGTTTAAATAAATTAAATGAAACCATCAATCGAGCTAGTACGATTTATTTTATTATTCATCAATAATCAAATTCAGAACTTGAATATTCAACTGCAATGTCTGCTCATGAACGCTTCAAACTCGGTACTTCTTTCCCAATTCCATAAAATTCAAAACTTAGAAAGTGACAAAAAACTTTAAAATAGGTAGTTGAAACAGACTACAGCTAATTTTCATAGTGGACTGTACTATACGATAAACATGTCAGTCAATTTGACAACCTTTGTCGGAAACATTATTCAATGAAAATATTGTCTGAACCCTTAGTATTTCTCTTCGACAAATACATTAACACATCGTGAACCACTTTTCTTTCACGACTATAAAAATATTTTAGCAATTTAATTCACAAAATCAATTGCACACATTTAAAATAAAGTTTGTTTACACTTTGACAACAATAGACTGACATGCAAGGTGACATGTCAATGAAGTTTTCAGTTACTGTTGCCATTAAAAGAAATTAGTACCATTAGTTTTCCGCAACATGGCGAGGGTTTTTATGTTCCTGGTCAGGCTATACGTGGTAAAAACGATAAAATGGCAAAATAATGATAAAACATAATTTTATAATTTTGGCTCAGTTTAGCTTGGTCTCTGAGCTCCGATTCGCTCTCTTTTTCATCTTTTCGTAATAATGTCTCTGTTATTTCACTTTGTACTAGTAGTTTACGACTTATTTAAGAAGAAAAAACAGAATTGTAAGCTTAATTCAATAATATTGGGTGATAGCCGAAGAAATGTTATACCGCAAAGAGAGTCGCGCGTAACCTTTTCGACGACAGGCGCGTGGCGTGCTTTCGACGCCGGCGCCGCGGCTTAAACAATAGCAAGCCATGGGGTGGGAAAAGCGCTAAGAGCTGAGGTAAGCTCTTTATTTCGCTCACAATGAGCAAGCGACAGGCTACTAAAAATGAGAAATATGTTTAACAAGTAAAAAAAAAGTTATGAACGAAAATGTGTTAAGCGCGGTCGATTCGACGCCGCGCGCCCGCTTGAAGGTTAAGCATAAGCATTGTCAATAAATTTGATAAAACCTAACTAGTTTAGATAGCAGTGGGGCCTCATTTTTTATTTGCCCGAGGGCCCTTGGTTACCTAGCTACGCCACTGGACATGACTGCGGCCTGCATCCAGCGCCTTCCTGCTACCTTTATCAGGTCATCGGTCCACCTTGTGGATGGACGTCCCACGCTGCGTTTTAAAGATTAATTTACAAATAACTTACATTTTCGACGGGCGCCGTCCACACGTTAGGGTCACCCGTCTCGAAGGCTTCAATATGCTCCATTCGCACATGGTTTCTCAGCGCCATGTCGCTTGCAAAGCCTTTCATGCAAATACGACAGCTGACCACCTCCTCTGTCTCGCTTAGCGGTTCCACCTGGGACAATACACATAATTAATATCCATTGGAGTGCCCAGCTTCTACCCTAGGGGACTATGGAGGGAAGTCGAACCTTAATTTCAAACTACTCCTGAAACTTGTTGAGTGGGTGGTACAGTAGAATCCCGATTATCCGGATCAATTAAAACCAGGGGTGTTCCGGATAATCGAAAATCCGGATAATCGATTTCAAAGTAAAATCAAACAATAATTAACTTTTTAAAATAGAAAGGGTTTTAATACATCATTTTAGACGATTTGATGAATCCATCTTCTTATAACAATGAACCAAGACGACGTCTGTACCGTGTTACGGTGGCGGCGCATTGTAATTTTAATAGGTCCAGACCCTAAACCGTGAAGAATGAGTCCGGATAATCGGATATCTGGATAATCGAAATTCTACTGTACAATGTTTCAGGAATTTCGTAGATGATAATAATCTATCTATCTATACCAGCCTTTAGGGAGTTTGCCTTCAAACATATGCCCCCTCTTCAAACCTCTACTAATAATAATGATCATAAATTATAAATCAAATAAAATAAAATGATGATCATAAATTAACTTACTTTAATTTTGGTGCCCATTTTGAGTGGAACCACGTTCACCAACCGCACTTGTGTTCCCGTACTCATGGTGAGATTGGTATCTGAAATCAAATAACATTTATATGAGAATGGTCTACGTAGGATTACTTCAAAAGGAAATGGACTACCACACAGATACATTTAGCTTATCCTGCATGAAAACATACAGATCATTTACTACCCGTTTTCGCGCTAAGTTTGCCTTCCGTGGAATGCGCGTCCCCTCTTCCAACCGCGATTAAACGCAATTAGTTAGTGATTAAACGCAATTAATGTGTCTTATTTTACGCAAATGCACAATTCAATAAATAAAAAATATTTTAAATATGGTTTGTTAAAGTTATAGACACTTCCCTTCGAGTGACGTCATATCTCCAGCGGCAAACTTAAAGCGAACGGATAGTATTAATATTAGGCCCAGTTTCCACAGAAGCAGAGATGTTAGAATCATCATTATTTCAGCCACAGGACGTCCAATTCAGGACATAGGCCAATCAGAGGGTAAGGTTATTCCCACCTCTCGTTCCCACTGCTGCTACTCCTGTGTAGCCAGGATCTACAGCTTGACCGCCAATAAAAACCCAACCAGTGAAGTTCAAGTTTGTCCCGGGGAAAGTTAAACTGTCATTGGACCCGCAACATAATTGATTAGAAGAAAATGGGTAAGGTTAGGGGCAGGTCAGTGAATTCCAGATTGGCCGGTTGTAAGCATAGTGTCTAGGCATAAGTGAAGTGATGTAATATCTCTACTTATCTAGTCTATTTTGAATGTCCTAAGTCAACAGAGCTAGCCACTGTTAATTGTGTAATGTAAAGTCATTGTAAAGTGCAGATAACTGGCCAACTATTTGACACATTTACTGGGAGGTTTTTAGAGTGTAAAGATGATGTGAGTTAGTGAAATGACGAGGTATACTCCGAATACCATCCCATGCACATATGAAAGAAGAGTGGGTTTGCTTATCTTTGACAGCAAGAAAGCGAATGAAAAACAAAATGACATGGCTTAGCTCTGCTTCCCAGGATAGGGCATACCTAGGTTATCAAACTAGATAGTAATAAAACATCATAAATAAGCTAACAAGGACATAAAAGAACAAAAATAGGTTTACCTATGATTTTACAAGCGTTTTTTGTATCGTAGCGTTGTAGCGTTCAATGACCACGCATGCCACGGTTATAAGCAACCAAATCACTCATTTTTTGGTAAGAATATCGAAGAATTGCATCTGAATGCATTTGGAATAAAATATCTTCAAAATAAAAGTAAACAGCGGGAATCGCGATTGTCAAAAAAATACTTTTTATTAAAAAAAATACAAACCCGGGCTATGGTGTAAACACAAACTTAAAATTACGAAATTGATGATTTAGATTATTTTAGATGACGCGCAAAGAAAATCGTGGCGTTTATTTGCTCAATACTACAATAAATAATGCACTAATACGAAATAAAATACTTACAATCACCACAATAACACAAAATTCACTTCCAAAATCACGATTTTTCGCTACCCAAGGATAGATGGGCGATTGTTTTTTTTTAATTAAAAAAAAGAAGTCAAAAAAAGAAAAAATTAAAAAGTTAAGCAGTTTTCAAAAAATGACGTATTGAAATGACATTACATAAAATACACCACTATGTAATGCAATATTTGAAGAAATTACATCGAAATATTCACGAATAGACTACAAATCGTATGAAATACAGAAAAATCTGCAGGCGTGGCCGACTAAAAACCAAAGCGACGCAATGAATGACGCCATTTCGTGAAAGACTGGAAATAGTGCCGGCTGCATAATAGAACTTTTTAGTCTATGCCCCAAGGAAGTAGTCAAATAAAATTCTGATTTATTAACCCTTAAAAAACCCCAGCTATTTTTTAATTAAAGTTTATTTTATTATTTAAAAAATTGTGCACGTTTTTGGGAATTATAATTTTATTACATTCAAAAATGATTATTTCTCTTGAGATTACCCATAGTTATATATAGCATGCGATTTATTTGTTTTATCGATAATCAGTTGCTACGGATAATTTGCTTTTGCAAGGTTTGAAATAAGTTATTGCTAAATAAAGAATAAAGGTTCATGGCTGCACCTAAAGCTACCACAATCAAAGAAGCCATTAAACGGTGGGAGGACAAAACGGGTCAGAATTCTGCTACAGCCACTGAAGTTAGCTTAGTGTTCCAATGGCCACCAATCGAAAAGATGGATAACACTTTAGCCACGCTTACTAATTGCGAGTAAGTAGGTTTTGCTAACATGTTTCGTTGATAAACAGGAATCTTATTGGTGGACATCTCACGCTCTTTAGTCTTCACATGGCCATCTGTCTTCACTCCAGAATCTTACTGCCCCATCTGGAAATCATTGGGGGAGAGGGAGAGCTATGTTCAGCAGAACCAAATGATGATGACGATCAAGCAGGAATCACCTAAGTTAAAAGTAGTAGTAGTAGTATTGTGAACAATCCTAAGCTCTCACTCTGTCTCAGGGATGCCTCTAATTCAACGTCTTTTAAGCAGGTCTTCCTATTGCAGAAAATTGAGTTTATCTACAAATATGATAGAGAAAGTAACTGGACTCAATAGTTTGAAGAAGCTTCGAATCCTTTCCTTAGGACGGAATTACATCAAGTCTTTTACTGGAATGGTAAATCAAAATTAATCGTTTACCAAAAAAAAAGTGGATGGCGTTTGTATTCTGATCAATATTGAATTCATGATGAAACTATTTAAAATTTTAGGAATCTCTAGGAGATACATTAGAAGAGCTATGGCTGTCTTACAATTTGATTGAAAAACTAAAGGGCATCAATGTTTTAAGAAGCCTTAAAGTGCTTTATATGAGCAACAACTTGGTGAAAGAATGGAGTGAGTTCAATAAGCTTCAGGTAATTTAAAGTATGTAATTGCCAATTTATACATTAGAACTGCATATTTCTAAAAAAATTTAAAAGATTCCAACACACTTCGCCTGGGATGCGCGCTGCAATATCGGTTATCGCTCCATACATTTTGACGTCGATCAGATGATGTCACGGCGTGCATGCTAGCCCAGCTGGCTGTGTGGTTGTTCTCTAACTTCTTATCTGAACATTTATAAGTTTCGAGTATTATTAAAATTTTTCAGGAACTTCCACATCTTGAAGATCTTTTGTTCGTCGGCAATCCTCTATACGACGGTTGTGAGTTGGAGGCGTGGCGCTCCGAAGCCGCGCGGCGTCTGCCCAATCTGAAGAAGCTGGATGGAGAGACCGTGCTGAGAGAAGACGAGCCTCCTTTGACTGTAGCAGATATGCAGGTTCAAAACACATCTAACCCTATAGATCTACCTTTTATGTTGAAAATGCATAAATAGAAAAATACCATAGCCACCGCGGGCTTTCCCTGCCTATTCAGGAGGATGTACGAATTTGTACATCAATTTCCCATTTTATTTAAAAAGTATAAAAAATATTTGCCAGTGAATGATGAATTCTAAATAAATCGAAATGGACGTTAGTACAGCAAATCCAACGTAACCAATTTTTTTTTTGCAGCCTGATGGCGGCGATGCTGTGGAGACCCTGGTCAGCGCTGAAACTAATGATTAAATATTTTTTAAAATATCGTTTTATTTGGCCATGGCCACCTTAATGGCCACTCACTGAACCGGAAACTAACCGTAGTTACTTTGTCTATGGCTGTCTCATTTTTAACCTACCACAGATTACTACATTCTATACTGCGTTAGGGCGGGAAAATTCAAAAACATTTTTCCATAGAAAATTGGCGCGCTTTTTACCCAATTGCAAAATGCATGAGAAAGATCAGAAAGATGGTTGTTTTTTTTTTCCCTCCATAGCAAGTGGACAGATTCGCAACTGGACAGATTCCCAACTGGACAGATTCTCAGGTGGACGGATTAGCAACTGGACAGGACATGTACAGTCCATAACATAAAAACAACCTCCTGAACAGTAGTTTGTGTAATATTAATTTGAACCATGTAATGCATTATTTGAATAAGCTAGTGACATAGTATAAAGAAGGGAAGTAAGTTATCTTCATTAAACGTATGAGTGTGCCATCCCTTTTTTAGGATTCCGTAGCCAAATGGCAAAAAACGGAACCCTTATACAGTGTGAGTCACGTTAAAGTGTACATATGAAAATAGATGAAACTAGACCTATTTTTATCGACAAAAAAGAGGTCAAAAAATTTTTGAGATTTTTTTTTAATTTTTTACAGAATTTTTATTCTTCCAATTAAGAAAACGTAATAACTTTTAAACTAAGCGGTATATCCTGATAAAATAAAAACAGTAACAATGCTAAATAACAGGCGATACTAAAAAAATACATAAAATACACAAAAAAGGCCAAAAAATAATAAAAAATGATACTTTATAAAAAAAATCTGCTTTTAAATTCGTGTCTTTTTGGTTATTTGATAAATTTCTCCAAAAAATGCCCCTATAACCGGTAGTTTTTATTACTTTGTATTATTTTCTATCGTATTACCTTTGAAAAACCAAAATTCGTATGTCTCTATCCCTATCACAACGTTTGCAATGATTTTTTGAACTAAGCCTCTCCGGGCGCGCCATTCAACGCTTCGTTAACAACGAAACTGAAAATGGCTCTAGATTTGTAATTTTGATAAAGACAAGTTAGATTTCAAATAAAAACAAAAGATTTCGAAGTAAAATAATCATTTTAGTTAAAATTAAAATTGTCTCTACCTGTAGCGGAGAATAATGTTGTGGCAGGCCTTTGTTCAAACGATCATAGCAAATGTTGTGATAGGGATAGAGACATGCAATTATTAGTTTTACAAAGATAATACGATAGGGAATAATACAAAGTAATAAAACTACCTGTTAGAGGGGCATTTTTTGGAGAAATTTATCAAATAACCAAAAAAACACGAATTTTTAAGCAGATTTTTTTCAAAAAGTATCATGTTTTATTATTTGTTGGAATTTTTTGTGTATTTTATGTATTTTTTTAGTATCGCCTGTTATTTAATATCATTACTGTTTTTATTTTATCAGGATATACCGCTTAGTTTAAAAGTTATTACGTTTTCTTTACAATAAGTAATTGGAAGAAAAAAAATCTATAAAAAATTTAAAAAAAATCCCAAAAATATTTTGACCTCTTTTTTGTCGATAAAAATAGGTCTAGTTTCATCTATTTTCATATGTACACTTTAACGTGACTCACACTGTAGATTCGTCATGTCTGTCTGTCCGTATGTCACAGCCATTTTTTTCCGAAACTATAAGAGCTATACTGTTGAAACTTGGTAGGTAGATGTATTCTGTGAACCGGTTCTGGTTTTATTATGGGTTGCTAAAGCGAATAAACCCACAAGACCCAATAAGTCCACCCACTAGATGGACCGACGACGTCATAAAGGTAGCGGAAAGGCGCTGGATGCAGGCCGCCACCAACCGGCTATTGGGGAGGCCTATGTTCAACTGACNTGCCTTCGTTACGGTTGTACTAGATTGATTTATTCTCGTCCAAACAACCGACGTTTGTTTACTAACACAGCAAGTAATTAGTATTAATTAACAAATTACTACGGCTTCCGAAACTTGTAGTTCGCACGAAATCGATACAGATATGTGGGTGAAATTTAATGGTTTACAGCCTACGAAATACGTACGAACACCTACGTCATTAGAGACCGACAGAGAAAATAATGTACTGGTATAAAAAAATAAAGTTACAAACTAGATTTTTCCCGCGGCTTCGCCCGGGTGAATTTTTGTCTGTCACAGAAAAACTTAAACGCGCGCGTCCCCGTTTCAAAAACCGGGATAAAAACTATCTTATGTTCTTTCTCAGAACTCAAAATATTCCTAGCTTTACCCAAATTTCATCACAATCGTTTCAGTGGATAGGCGTGAAAATGTAACAGACAGGTTACTTTCCCATTTAGGGATTCGGTTAACTTCCATGTTCTTGTAATCGTTTTTGTTCCTTTGAATCATTTATCGCTCGTGGACCAATTTCTCCATTTATGCCCCAACACCGTAATACCGTATTAGGCGACCTGTGTGCTCCAAATAACATTTGATTGTAAGGTCTAAGAAACTAAAAATAAACCCCTCAAATGGCCACCCACAAATGTACCAAAATAATAATCATTTTGGCGAAAAATTGAGGAATAATACAGAACATTATTGCGTGATCCAGCCCAATTTCCGACCCACTTTTGACCATGCGAAACAAGAATTCGCAATTATTCTCTCAAACGGACCCGAAGGATCACGCGAGTCAGAAATAGAACCTTGTGAAAAGGTGGCAAGGGTTCCATTCAAAGAAATACCTAGTGTAGGGATGTGTCTGAAATTGTCTGACTCGAGTCCTGATAAAGAAATGTTAAGTACTGGGGCATCGAATCAGCCGAATTTCAGAGATGAAATTACAGATATCATTAACTCATTACCAGGGGCGTTTAGATAGGAAGGAAATTAGGCAAACTTAATATTACTTGTGAATATCAGATAAATTGCATGGCACGGAATGAAAACTCGATACACTCTTTAAAGGTAATATGAAGTCGTTCTGTTAGATTCAGTACACCTAAATAAACTTCAATGCAAACAACTCAATCTTTTCTATGTTGAGGAGATATCGATTGCGATTCTTTTATATCACGACTGAAATTAAATATGCAAGCATTAAAGCGACTGGAAGCACTAAAATCCGCTGCTGCATTGCATGTACTTTTAAGTCCGATTAATCTATACGTCTACATAGGATCGTAG